CCCACCCTCATTAAGACCCCCCCCCCCCCCCCCCCCCCATCAATGATAGACCCACGGTACGCCATTGATTCAAATAGAAAGTCATGTATGCACGCGCTATGTAACGTGTCCGCTAATGAGTGAAGCCTTAGAAGTTATAATAAATGAAGAAACACAATGACAAACAGCGCGGCAGAACGGGGAAAACAAGAGTAGTGATCCATTCTTGTTCTATTCAGTACAGCAGGCAGTGCATGTCAGTTGAAAAGAAACCACTCAACATGTTTGCACTCTCATCTCGATGACTGATCAACCGTCTTCATCTTGAGAAAATAATCAAGCTAAGGATAGGCAGAAAATCGGTCATATTTCATAGTATCATGGTAGCGTATTTGTGTATAGTATTCACCAACAGTAGAACCAACAACAAAAATTGCAAATAAAAGTGACCCCCCCCCCCCCGAACACGTACTCCTTTACCATTTTTGAGGAAGTTTTTTTTTGTCACTTCTTCTTCTTCTTCTTCTCTTCTTCTTCTTCTTCTTCTTCTTCTTCTTCTTCTTCTTCTTCTTCTTCTTCTTCTTCTTCTTCTTCTTCTTCTTCTTCTTCATTTGTTTGATTTGATTTGATTTGATTTGATTTATTTATTTCTGTTTGATTTTCTTTCTTTTTGGCATTTTTACAAATATATAACAAACAAACATTGCAAATTTACACATATCTCAATATTATTATTATTAATATTCATTTATTTGACAGAAATACGCAAGATACAATGCGTATTGATAAATCTCAGTAAATAATAATGATAAAAATGATAATAATAATAACAATAATAATAATAATGATCCATTATTGTAACGGCGCATACCCGTTTTTAGAATTTAGCCTCTCTATACGCTTCCCAAAAACTTTGGTTATCAACCACAGCGCTAAGTGCATTGAAGGAATGAATCTTACTAGGTACACAGTCTGGGTTGAGAGTGTCAAATGAAGATTAATGTCTTGCCAAAGATTATAGACTACAACACCACTACTTAAAGAACAATTTGGATTTCCAAACATGTCAAAATGAAACATTTTATTGGAAGGAGAAAATACATTCAAATAACTGTGCAGATAACTCCGCCCTGTGTTGGTGTAGTCCCATATACATATTTGTATGTGTACATTGCTTGTAACTTTATAGACTGGGTCAAATTTCTTATCATTTTGATGATTCCAGAACCTTGCAGTACACACCAATACTTATATGCTAGATGATCAACCTTTTCTGATCGACTCCACACCGTTTCTTCCACAATGCAATCGCATGACCAGAACTCAAATTTATAGCTGAGAACAGTTGACGAATGGAAGTTATGGAGATAATGCGTCTCAAGGTCCATTTCATTGTCGCCCCAACAGCCTCCAAGCTATTGGGACACAAATAGATAGAGGGATACCTTCGGCAAATTCTCTGATGTACAACTATTTGCCTTCGGCTTTCAATTTCGGATTTAATATAATAATTATCTACCCTTTGCGGAAGGTAATCATATATTTTCATAATCCGCGCTGACAGAATAGTATGTATCATATTTTCTGAAGATTTGTTTATTCCTTTTCACTGTAATCAGGTAATGATTGTGATGGTCCGAGAACAGATTTGCGGCATTATCAAAGTTCGTGTTATATCATATATCTAATGTAAAGGAAAGAGATGGAGACAAACGGACAGAGAAAGAGAGAGGGGATCAAGGGGGTAGAGAGAGATAGAGAGAGACAGAGAGAGAGTGGGAGAGGGTGAGAGAAACAAAGAGAGAGGGGAGAAACGGAGAGACAGAGAGGCATAAATAGAGAGAGAGAGAGAGAGAGAGACAAACGGACAGAGAAAGAGAGAGGGGATCAAGGGGGACAGAGAGAAATGGAGAGAGAGAGAGAGAGAGAGAGAGAGAGAGAGAGAGAGAGAGAGAGAGGGGGGGGGAGAGAAACGGAGAGACAGAGAGGCATAAATAGAGAGAGAAATTGAAAGAGAAGATAAAGGAAGAAGAAAGAAAGGGAGAGGAGGGAGAGAGTATGGAGGATGATACTAGTTATGTATAATTTGTATGTAAAGTATCTTGACATATTTATTCTCATTTTTTTGTTTGTTTGTTGACGGCACTCTCGCCACAAGCGTTTCCTTTTAGATAAGTTGCAACCTGTGAATTATTATCACTGTTTATTTTCGAACGTGCGAACCAAAAGAAGGAAAATAAATGATAATTTGAAAATGAAAAAAAAAATCCTGAAGAGGAAATAAAGGCTATAGGCCAGGGTTCATGTTGGTATAGAAGGAGAGACAAGAGAGTATAGAAATATAATATGACAGAAAGAAAGAGAAAGCACGGAGCAAAGAGAAAGATAATATTTAAAAGAAAGAGAGAGAGGTTGTTTTTGGGTGAAGTGAGGTGACGGGCGTCAGAGATAAGATGCGATTGAATGAGAATGTCTAGGATTAGAGACTCGAAAGATTGTTGAAAAAGGGCTGAACATTGTGATGATTAATCATGTGAAAATGACAAGCGCAGTGATTTATAACCGAGCGAGTGACTTTCATGAATATTTATTGTAGAATGCAACGTATTTACAATAAGTTACAATATAATATAATTATAAGCAGGGCTTTCGTGGTCTGGTGGATACATTACCGGACTGTAGATCTTGTTTGCGCTTCGAATCCCGCCGTGGTACTGATGTCCTTTGGAAAGACACTAATCTATTTAACCATTCTCCACCCAAATTAAGTGGTTACAGGGTAGGAATTGTATGCTTTTAGCGCTTAAAACCAGGGTAATAATACTACTTTGAGCAACATTTGGGCTGCATATGGGCGTAACAGGAATGTAGAAATTATTATTTGTAGTAGAAGAAGTAGAGGTGGTAGAAGTAGTAGTACATTGTAGCAGTAGTAGTAGTAGTAGTAGTAGTAGTAGTAGTAGTAGTAGCAGTAGTAGCAGCAGCAGCAGTAGTAGTAGTAGTAGTAGTAGTAGTAGTAGTAGTAGTAGTAGTAGTAGTAGTAGTAGTAGTGGTAGTAGTAGTAGTAGTAGTAGTAGTAGTAGTAGTAGTAGTAGTAGTAGTAGCAGAAGTAGCAGCAGCAGTAGTAGTAGTACATTGTAGCAGTAGTAGTAGTAGTAGTAGTAGTAGTAGTAGTAGTAGTAGTAGTAGTAGTAGTAGTAGTAGTAGTAGTAGCAGCAGCAGTAGTAGTAGTACATTGTAGCAGTAGTAGTAGTAGTAGTAGTAGTAGTAGTAGCAGTAGTAGCAGCAGCAGTAGTAGTAGTAGTAGTAGTAGTAGTAGTAGTAGTAGTAGTGGTGGTAGTAGTAGTAGTAGTAGTAGTAGTAGTAGTAGTAGTAGTAGTAGTAGTAGTAGTAGTAGTAGTAGTAGTAGTAGTATAGTAGTAGTAGTAGTAGTAGTAGCAGTAGTAGCTGTAGTAGTAGTAGTAGTAGTAGTAGTAGTAGTAGTAGTAGTAGTAGTAGTAGTAGTAGTAGTAGTAGTAGTAGTAGTGGTAGTAGTAGTGGCAGTAGTAGTAGTAGTAGTAGTAGTAGTAGTAGTAGTAGTAGTAGTAGTAGTAGTAGTAGTAGTAGTAGTAAAAGTAGTAGTAGTAGTAGTAGTAGTAGTAGTAGTAATAGTAGTATTAGTAATATTAGTAGCAGTAGTAGTAGTAGTAGTAGTAGTAGTAGTAGTAGTAGTAGTAGTAGTAGTAGTATCATCCTATGTATCATCGCCTCTCTCTCTCTCTCTCTCTCTCTCTCTCTCTCTCTCTCTCTCTCTATCTCTCTCTCTGTCCATCCCTCTCCACCCAACCCCTTCCCTTCCCTCTTCTCTCCCACTCTCACTCTCTAAGCTACCCTCCTAAATTGCGCCTGTTATCCTCAAGATCAGTTTGTTGTCAGTGCTTACAGATGATGGATTGCAAGCTTTAGATTTGTATTTGTATTATCGTTGTATATCTTACGTTTGATAAACTGAATTACGTTTAAGGCGATAGTTCACATTCTCATTAAAAGACTCATAATACTCATTGAAGCTGTCTGAATAATCTATAAAGAAGTGTATATCTACTTAAGTCTTCATATTTATGACAGCCCAAATATTGAAGTAAAATTTACAAACTAAAACTTCTCATAGACATGGATTGACAACGATGGCTAAAACACCTTAAATATGATTAATCGGGATGAAGCGGTGTAGTCGTCCTGTCAGATAATTCGGATGATTGTCAAGATTAGGTTTGGTAAAGTCAAACATCGAAACAAACTATAGCGATTACGTTTGCTTGCTACCCCCTCCCCTCCCTTCCACATCAAATCTCCCTCCTCCATCTTGTTATATCTCTCTCCCTCTCTCTCTCTCTCTCTCTCTCTCTCTCTCTCTCTATCTCTCTCTCAAGCTCTCTCCCTTACGCTCTCTCTCATTACGGGGTGCTGCGTGTACCCCCATCGTTCATCCAATGCATTGTAAAGTAATTACAAACTCCATACAGAAAGCGCAAACAATATATAAAACATTAATCGAGCAAACATGTAATTATCAAATGTTTTTCCTTTTTTCAATGCGATATTTCCCTACACCTGTTCATCTTCATTGGAATCCAACGTATCAACATCAGTATAGTCAAGGAGTTATGAGGAGTTCCTTTAGTTTCATCTATTTCTCCTCAAGAGAGTAACAGATAAAAAAATACATATATAAACAGAAAAATGTATGACAATACATAAGATGAATTATAAAAAGTGAGAAAGGCAGTGGCGAAAAAGGAAACGAACCTTGTAAGAGGACAACCCTTTAAGAAAACAAGATATACAATGGCCTGGTATACCCTACACAATGCTTCCTACCTGAAGTGTTCTCCCTGTGGTATAGGGATGCACGAGATGAATGGAGAGGATACGGTCGCAATGGCAACGCTCATAGCTGATGCCGCATCCTCCGATGAATTCAATGGAGAACACAAGAAGATGAGAGAGAGAGAAAGAGAGAGAGAGGTATTGATACTTACAGCTTCTATGCATCCAAGTAAAGCTCCATCTTTAGAACAGGAATACCGTCGCTTGCCTGTATGCCATTGAGGAATGGATGTACAGAGGCGCCTGGTTTTGAGATGGCATGTAAACACTGAATGGAGCAAGTCGATATTAAAGCAGTCTCCAGATTTCTAACCCGCAATACGAGCACGAATGATCATTATGACTATAGGCGTATAGCGAGCGCAGCAGCGCTACGAGCAATAATCACAACGTGAATGCATGCGTGGGTGGCTTAGGTGCGTGTGTATTCTGTGCGGGTGCGTTTATTGTGTGTGTGAAAATGTGTGTGTATACATTTTGAGATATGCCTGCTCGGTGTCAGCTAGCATTAAGCGCGGGTTATAACAGAGCTTCATATATCTAATGAAGATATTAACGAACTTACATGTAGGTCGACGTTTTATCTACCTTTCTCTTGGTAACTGTTTCTTTTCCCACCATTGTATGTGAACAAAGCTAGCTTGATAAACAGGAAATAAGGAATGAAACAGGAAATAAGGAATGGACGCTTAATAGGATCACAATGTAAAGAAGCTCTCCTAAACTTATAGATGAAATGCTTAAAGTGACTCGGTAACATTGTTGAAGGTTGAAGAAAAATCTGCGTAAGTTTTGGATGAAATGTTACATATTATATTCCTACTACTGTACTAACCCTCTAACATGCAAACAAATCCTGAAGAAATTCTCAAACCACAAAGATATTTATGGTTTTCTTTGAAGGTGTTACTGTGCGACACCATTTTCTCTCATTAATTTGAACAATGTTACAAGGTCCCTTTAATGCGCTGGAAAAAATTCAGGCAAGCAACATGCAGGGAGAAGAGGTTATAATTTTGATGTAAATCATATAACTACCAAGAAACAAGGTCTACATTTTTTTCCTGCTAGGTAGCACTGCTTGATTTATAAGGGCCTATTTTTTATATATTTTTTTGATAATAATAATAATAGGCATTTCTATAGCGCCATCTATCTAGACAATTCTATTCCGAGGCACATTTATTATTACCCCGGCTTTAAAACTCCTTAACACGATCGCAACTCTTTTCGAAAATGTTCCATAGAAATCACGTTCGGATTACGTAAGACGCTATAACAATAGGTGACGCACAAAAAGGGAGTTTACAGATAGCACATGGTACAAATGACCCCAAATATCCACAGATCTTTTACACATGGAGAAGTTCCACTTTGAGCATCTTAGAGTAATAACTGCCAAAGTCCTAGATGTGCTTCATGAATACCATTTGTTTGCCCTCTTGAAAAGAATACTTCCACCTGCGTATCATAGAATGTACCGTTGGTGCATAAATGAATAATGTTACATAACTTTCATGAGCGCATATCCAGTATTCATCTCTGTGGGTTTTACCTTTTTGGTACAAATGACCTTTATCTGCCCATGCGCAGATTGTATCTGTAAACTCCCTTAGGTTTTTGTAGTTGAAAGCAGCTGCTAGCGTGGTTTTGTTTTCTCTGTGGAATCTCAGAACCAAACAATGCTAACTTAGATTTCATTTGCTTTCGCGTTTGAAAATAATATTTCCATATAGTATAGTCATGATTTCATGAGCACTTGTCTTGCGCATATTTCCCGGTGGGGTCCAATATTTGGTAATTAAAAAAATATAAATAATGAAAGTCCGTCTATAAATAATAAAATGTCCGTCTATTAATAATAAAAAGAAGGTCATCTGGTCTACGCAAACAAAATTCTGTCTTATTTCAGCGCAGTCACTGCCCAAAAGTCATTAAAACCTCTTAGAATACAATGTAGGACGTGGTTTGACATATAAAGGGTAATTAATATGTAGAGACTGAAGGCGTAATTAGGAATCCATAGAATTTAGACCTCCTTCGAGAGAAGCCCGAGTTCTGGGGGGGGGGGGGGTGTTTCACAAAGCCTTTTTCAATGACAAATGACAACAAAATCAGTGACAATTCTGCTGATAACCAATCAGAAACAAGGATTTCACTAGCTTATAACACAAACTGTCATTTGTCACTACCGATGACAAGTTTTGTGAAACACCCCCTGGTAAAGATGAAGACAACAATAATAGCGTTCTCATTTTTTCTTGACTTCAGCTTGGACACGTTGGAGGAATATCATGGCAGAAATATCTCCTGAAAAAAAATTAATTGTTTTTCAGACGCTTTTTATTTGAAATATGACGTGACACAGCTGAAAAGATTGGACTATTCTTCTGCATGTCTGTATGCAGTGCCAATAGGGACTTTTAGATTCTGCAACGTGGACTGCCCTTTTAATGCAATGTGACGTCCTTTTAAGGCACTGGCAGTGACGTCACATTGCCTTAAAAGGGCAGTCCACGTTCTCGTCGTGCAGAATCTAAAAGTCCCTAATGTCATTTCCAGGAAGATAAAGTCAACTTGTTCTCATTTTGATCATCTGAAAAGTGCACAGTGAATGTTAATTCGTATATACTACATAATCCGAGCTTCCCTATTGCTTCTAAACAATTGTTTTAATGATAATGATAATAATGATTATGATAAGAATGATATAAACGATCAAAATATAAAGGACTAAAACGTACGAATATAAATCATGCATAATGAAACAAAATGAAAATCAAATATTACATCAAAATCTAAATATATTACAAACATTAAATAAAAATCTAAATATATTACAAATATTACATCAAAATCTAAATATATTACAAATATTACGTTAAAATTTAAATATATTACTTTAAAAAATAATCTGGATCTAAATATCAATGAATACGAAATACCGTCTCTAAGCGCTTTACAGGTATTATTATCCCGGTCACTAGATTCGTTCATGCACAATGTGTACCATCTCCACTCCCTACGGAGTATTATTACTATCTGGTCACCATTTGGGCATACGACAATTACTAACACAAGTGCTTTCTTCATCCTACCAGGTCCCCATTTCTTTCCTATGTAAGGAGTGGCTGCTTCTGCTGATATCAATACGTCTACTACTACTGCTGCTAATACTACTACCACTACTGCTGCTACTACTACTCATACTACTACTAGTACAGCGATACTACTGCTTCTACTAATAGTAATACTAATACTACTGCCACTAATATTTCAACATGACCCGTTGAACCGCCTCGCAAAACCGTCGGAGCGAATCAAAATCATCTTACGTGTAAATGAGAGGCAAATGAAATAGAATGAAAAGGATAGGAGCTCCATGCGACACAGGCACTTAGGATTGATCATTCGAGAACTCACTTTATTTCAACCTTCACCAGAACCGAGCCACGGCCCGATGATCATTGACGATGGTATGATGAAATGAATGCTTAGCTACACGTACCAGCTTGGCCGAGAGCAAACTAGGCCCTCATCTCCCCCCCCCCCCCCCCCCCACGATAAACGATGACCTATTTATCCCGTCTATACACCTGACATGCCTAAAGCCATGTTAATAAACGCAGTTTTGAGTTCATGATATTAGAACGCTATTCTTTGAAAGTAGCTCGGGGAAAATTATTATGAACTAATAATGTTTTGACCAACAAAATGTAAACAAACTGCTTCATGCATATAATAACACACGATTTCACATTATGGCATTACGTGCTCTATACATGTATATTCTGGAGTAGTAGTCCATTTTACTAATCTTTCTAATAAACCATGACTTAAAGAAATTGTAAGTAGTTCCTACTGCATAATCATAGAAGGCATGGAGCATCCAAACAAAAAATAGGGAAAGAGAGATTGAGAGGAGAGAGAGAGAGAGAGAGAGAGAGAGAGAAAGACAGAGAGAGAGAGGGAGAGAGAGAGAGAGAGAAAGACACAGAGAGAGAAAGAGAAAGAGAGAGAGAGAAGGAGAGACAAAGAGAAAGAACGGGGTCGGGTGAAAGACATGAAAATAGGAAGGACAACAAGAAAAGCAGACCACGTGTCACCTTCCACAACCATTGTTTAATAATCATCTTACGCATTTAACAGTCCCGGCGCCCCACACAATTCAATCGGTACCCACGCCATTTCAATGTTCGACAAAACTGGCACAACTGGTGGAATTCGCTATATGGTCCCAACTGCATTTAATTATTCACGGTAACATGCATGAGCAGGATGAGATTTTACAGAATCAAAGTTCGTCATTTCATTCCAGAGTTTTCAATGCTGCCTTTAATCCAGGAAGCAATTATTATTAGCGATGTTGCTGATGAGCTCCCGTGTGACAGCGCGATGCGTGCATAATGTTGCCATGACAACGTAAAAAGATGCGAGACCTTAATCGCATGGTCATTCAGGAGATAAATGGTTTACATATTGCAAGGAGGATACGGTAGATATTAATCTGTTTTATAATCGCTGTTTCCATGGAAACTAGACATCTTCAAGATAACGATTAACTCTGCTATCTTGTCCTGGCTTATGATATCCGCATTTGACGGTTCGTAAATCCAAAAGGATCGTTATTGCTAAGGCACATAATTCGTTTAGCTTCATGGTTAAGCACATAGGTAGACTTTCCCGTCTGTTTTATGCTTGAAAAGTCTATCTTTGTATTATCATTAGCATTTTAATAATTATTATAATATAATAGTGGGTTCTTGGATAGCGCTCATGTCTGTCGGAGACTCGGAGTAAACATTCCTGGCGCTTCACATTATTACCCCAGTTTTAGCATGGCGTTCTAGCATTTTGAGGATTTATTTCTTGCCAGGTACCCATTTACTGTGGTACTATCTAACTCAGTACATTATAGTTGCATTCATCAAGTATAATCGTTTTAATAGTTGTTATTTTGTTAGTTGTGTCGATTTGCCCTATCTGCCCTAGTTCTACTGCCCCCTCTCTCTGTCTGTCTCTCTCTATCTCTCTCCCTCCCTCTTTCCCCTCTCCATCTCTCTCTTCCCCTCTCTCTCTCTCTCCCCCTCTCTCCCCTCCCCTCTCTCTTTCTCTCACCCCGTCTCTATACCCCCTCCCTTCTCCTCTAACGTTCTATTTTTCTCTCCATCCCTCTCTTTATCTCCCTCTCTCACTCACTCATTGTGTCTCTGTCTCTCTGTCTCTCTCTCTCTCTCTCTCCCCTCTCCCTCTCTTTCTCTCTATCTCTCCCTCTCTCTCTCTCTCTCTCTCTCTCTCTCACCCCGTCTCTATACCCCCTCCCTTCCCCTCTAACGTTCTATTTTTCTCTCCATCCCTCTCTTTATCTCCCTCTCTCACTCACTCATTATGTCTCTGTCTCTCTCTCTCTCCCTCTCTCTCTCTTTCT